AGACCCGCCTGGGCAACTTGGTGAGACCTTATCTCTACAATAAATAAAAAAATCAGCCAGCATGGTAGCACGCGCCTGTAATTCCAGCTACTTGGAAGGCTGAGGCGGAAGGATCGCCGGAGCCGAGCGGGTCGAGACTGCGGTGGCTGGGAGCGGCCACTGCACTCCAGTCTGGGCGACAGAGTGAGACTCCAACTCAAAAAAAAAAAAAGAAAGAAAGAAAGAAAATACTCCTCAGAACCGTTGAATTACATCATGGGATTAAAGGCCCACAAGATCTCACAGCTGAGTTCTCAGGGGCTGTGCTGATATACTCCCTTTCTTGGTGTGGTGGGGGAGGGGGGTTGTGAGGATATTGAGAGTGTGCAGCTGGGTTTTTGGTCCCTGGCTGGCAGCAGGAAGTGATGGCAGTGGTAGAAGGCAAACCAAGCGTTGGTTCCTTTCCTATCTGCAATGACCCCTTAAGGCAGTGAGAGAGAAGGGCTCCAGTTATCACATGGGAGTCCTTTAGCTCCTGTAAGCATCAGACAATTCTAGGGAATATTTTGCCTTCATCCACCAGACATGAGTGCAGTCTTCCTCCTAGACTTCTGTGAGAAAGACCTGCTTAGCTCAAGGAAAGTTGACACCCGAGTCAGCTCACCTAAAGCGAATGGGGAACATTTCATAGTATGTGGTAAGGATTGGAGGCTAGAGGAAGTCTGATGGTGAAAACGGTACACAATTATAAAAGCATATCCATAATTTTAAATATAATGACTGAAGGATGAAATCAAGTTTATTTTTCCAGTGAAGCTGATTTAGTATCTTACAATTCCATCTCACTTGTTGTTTGCAACATAATCACAGAAGGAACTTTTACAAAAATATTTGAGGGCTTCATCAGTTTTCCAGAGAACATCTCAATGTTTCGATAGTCACGTCATTCTTTTTTATAAGTATCAGCGATCACCTCATCACCTTTCCTTTTTTTGTTAACTGATCTGAGTCAGACCCATGTTTTTCAGTGGCTTTGCTTGAGATTTGAGCAGTTTTCTAACATTATTCATCAACTTTGTCAAATCTACCATCTTTTACAAGATGTATTATTATTATTGTAACTAAACTGCATTCTGTCTGTAGCATCTGTCATATGTTTACAATATAATCATAGAGACTAGCAGAAGACTAGAATACAATGGGCAAGACAAATATTCCAGGTTCGAATAGTTGTGAGGGCAAGAAGGGACTAATTTTAAAAGTAGTTCATTTGTGAATGGTTTTACATGACAATAACTTTCACTTCTCTATACATCAGGTAGCTGCAAGGATTTGGTTAATGAATATGCAAATAATGAAGACCTTTTTATTTATAATACAGATATGTTTTAATAGTGTTCATACTCTTTGAACTTAGCATTTATACTTCTCAGAAGTCCTCACAAGTACACAAACAAAAGTAAAATGTTCAGTGCCCTTTTTTTGTTGTTGTTTTGAGTCCCGGTCTCTGTGCCCAGGCTGGAATACAGTGGCATGATCATTGCTCAACACAGCCCTGAACCTGGGCTCAAATGATCCTCCCACCTCCTGAGTAGCTGGGACTACAGGCGTCCCACCATGACTGGCTTTGTTTGTTGAGATGAGATCTCACTATGTTTCCCAGGCTAGTCTCGTACTTCTGGGCACACTCCTCCTGCCTTGGCCTCCAAGAGTGCTGGGATTACAGATGTGAACCATGGCACCTGGCCGCACATTCTTTGTAAATGCAAACTTTCTAAGTAACATACATAACTATCAATAAGGACTTGACTGAATAAGAGCCCCTCTGTAGTGAAATATGATACAGCTAGGTGTGGGTAGATATATGTCAGATAAATTATGTAGGGGAAAAAGTAGGTAGCAAACTATAGTACACTGGTCCCCTGTTTATTGATATAAAGATAGTAATTGGCTGAAAAAGACTTAGAGAAATACACACTGAACTGTTAACAACCATCTCTGTGTAAAGGGATTGTGGGCTCAACTTTTTATGCTATTTCTGTGATGCTTAGCTTTTTTGAGTAATTTTTGTAATCAGAAAAAACTTTAATAAGAAAGATGTTTTAAAGTCTGTGTGACCTGGGGGAACCATTCCTGAATTTCAGCTTTGCCAAGGCTAGAATGCCACTTTCCAAGGCAGGAGAACATGCTGGAAAGGAATTGCACCCTACTGCCCGGCCTCCAAGCTGTATTACTACTTGGTAGCAGGATTTCTACCCAGTTTGGAAGACTTGGTGGGGTCTTCCCCAGTAAAAGAGTGTTTTAAGGATCTGGAGTAGGATTTTCCAACTTTGCATCTTGGACCAGATAGCTATTTGGTGTGGAAGCTGTCCTGTACATTGTAGGGAGTTAAGCAGCATCCCTGGCCTCTGCCTGCCAATGCCCTCAACACACATACTCCCATCCCCCAATTGTGACAGCCAAAGATGTTGCCAGACGTCCTCTGGAGGCAAAATCATCTTTGGTTGAAACCCGCTAATCTAATGCTCATCCCTGCTAGCCTAGCAGAACACGAAAGCCTCTTCAAAAAATAATTAGAGCTTAACACCTACAAGTCTGTTGTGACTAACAGAAACGGCTTGGTATCTTGCAGAGAAGGTACAAATTTGAAAGACCTTTTTAGGTTGAGGTATATGTTTTTAGGGGAAAATGAAGATGTTAGGTGGTTTAGAACAACGTGTCTGGTACTGGATTAAGGTGGTTTCATTTCTCAAAAAAAGGTGCGGCATGAAATAAAGTTATCCTTTGTTCAGAAGCTCTTTGGCCATTATCCATACACAGAAAATCTAGTAACTCAACTGGGTGTGACTACAAGATTGTTTTAGATAGCCAGGTAATGAGGTCCAATGGAAAGTACTGGATCTTGAAGACACAGACCTTGGTTCAACTCTCAACTTAGCCTCTTGCCAGATACGTGGCCTTGGGGCAGTTGTTACTAGCTTTTGGGTGATTGGAAAGATTAAATGGAAGAACAAAATTCAACATGCCTTGTATGTCGTGGACACTCAAGATACTGGCTACTTTGCATCTCACTTGAAGTGGCATTGAGGCTGTCCTGTTAGGGTGAGTTTGGAGTATTCTGCATCTGGGAACAGTATAAGCCTCTAAAACCAACTGGGAAGAAAGCTCCTGAAGCCTATAGTCCCGAGACAGTTTCTGGAAAACTCCCATTATTAAAGCCCTAAGACTGTGGTCTAAGTACTCATAGCCAGTATGGTACTGTTCTATTGCAAACCTGCTTAATTAGTTCAGCTCAGAGAAGGTGCTTTGTTATGTGCATATATGTATATGTGGAGTGACCCCCAAAATGGGATTATTTTTTGGAGGGCAGGCTCCTTGCCGCCGTGAGGAGGGACCCCAAAAAACAGAATTTATTTATAAAAAATTGTGTATTTTTACATGTTTAAACTTCAAAGTACTCTCCATTTGATGAAGTACACCTATTGAGGTGCTTTTTCCACTGCTCAAAACAGTTTTTGAACTCGTCAGTTTTTATGCCTTTTAGGGCTTCTGTTTTTTGTTTCGCCCCTTCCACATCAACAGGTCGTTTTCTTTTGAGGACTTTTTTCATGTGGGCAGTCACTTGGGGGAGATAGGGTGAATAGGGAGGGTGGGGCACAGGGGTCATGCTGTTTTTGGTCTTTTTCTGCTGAATACTTAGCACAAGTGTGAGCAGGTGCACTCAAATCACGCATCATGAAACAGGCAAACACATTAAAAGAATGTCCAAAAAAATTTCACTGAAGCTGAACACAGCATCTCAGAATAACACTAGCTGGTACGCTGATGCTAATGGTTTCCTGGAACACCTGGTGGGGGAAGCCTACTGCAAGGGACCCGTCCTCCAAAAGATAAGTCTGGGCTTTTGGGGGCTCCCTTCATATATATGTATATATCTACGCATGTGTATGTATATATATGAAATTATTAAGAGATTAATAAGTAAACGTAAGTCCAATTTTGCAATTTAAAAAAATTACGCCATTACCTTTTGCAGCAAAAAAATGAAA